TATTATGCTTTAAGAACCATCTGTGTTCTCAGGGTAAAGCACAGGTGGGTTTGCAATCTGAATCCAAAATTTGCTCTGTGAACTTGGTCATATGGACTCATTTTCAGAGTTTCAATTTCTTCACCTGTAAGAAGTCATACAGCCTGTTGTGGGCTTATGAAATAAGATCCGGCATTCCTGGTCGAGAGGTAGCAAACACTAAATAACCACTATTTTCAATAGTCCTTTGCTACAGAATCACATTTCCAAATGCTCTCAAGTTTAAAACAGCTCTGCTCATCTCTCAGCAGTTAATCTGTGAAGTTTCTGAACTCCAATTGTGCCATGCTACCTAATATAGCTTAATGAAACCAAAGATTTCTTCACTGCTGGTAAACAGCTAGGTTCTAATTTTATGCATTTTAAACAAAACATGATGACTATATTGCCACAATTTGTACATACTATTTTAAGTAGAAAAAGAAAAAGAAAAAAACACCAGACAGGGCATGCTGTAAGAAATCTGAAGAGCTGTGCTAACAGTTTAGAAAATTGAAATGCAAAAGGCTAAGAGTCAGGAAGATTTTCACAATTGCCTGGAAGACTTAAACTTTCTTTCATTACCAATTTCACAAGTTTAGAGTTAATTGCATTTTAGGGTACACTGCAAGTATATATTTGGAATGTGCTTTCCATAATTAGTGGTCCCTAAGAAAGGTAGAAGAATGGAGCTTGCTTTCTTGTTTGTTATTGTTTTCCGTTTTTATTCAATATTTGCACCTAGAGCCTCACATGAATGACACATTTTTATTAAAATCAAGAATAAATATTATGTGAACTATGCCTCAAACCTCAGCAAGGGAGTTTCTAATTATTTTAAGGAATATGTAACAGGATTCATTTTAGTTTTGTAACCAAAAAAAAGTACAAGGAAGAATAATGCATATGCTAATAGATTTTTGCTGTCCTCTGTTAACATTTAGAAATAAATTATCTATCACATTTGCCTCTCAACAACTGGAAGGATGTATGTATGTATTATAGTGAGTGTTCAGTTAAATATTTGCAGTAACCTGGGACAGATACTGAAACAATTGATAACACTTTGAAGAAATTACTTCTTCATAGAAATGGTTTATTTGGTAGATCCAAAAGAACTGAAATATTTATATAATTTTGTACCTATATGTATTGCATACATCGATTCATAGCTCCCTAAACTATTTTCTCAAAATTATATCACGAATGCAGTAAATCTGGTAGTTTTGATAATCTACCGCTCACTTTGTTTTATTCTATATCAGCATTTCTGAACTTCAGAACTATTGATGTTCAGGTAAAAGAATCCTTCGTCGTGTCAGATCTGCGATCTATAGCGCATGTCACTTGATCTCTGGCCTGTACCACAGGATGTCACTAGCACTCAACCTATCGTGGACTTGGTATGAATCTCACCAAAGTTCCCAGGTAGAGTTTATGGCGGTATTCGTTCATGAGAATGGAAATGATGAGCGTGAGATTAGTGTCTTCCTAGGAAGAGGCAGAGAGCTAGCTCTCTAACTTCCCAACGTGGGAGGGCCAGGAGTTGCCAAGTGTGCACCGATCACTGTGACGCTCTGACCCCAGGCTCTCAGCTTCCATGATTATGTAAAATAATTTTTTGTTGTTAGTAAGTCACCCAGTCTAGGGTAATATGTTATAGCAACCAAAGTTCCCAAAACAGGAAATTGATACCAGATGGGAAATTCATGCAATCTCATGAACAATATGTCCTTATAAAAAAGAAAGAGGGCATTGTTGTCTTCCACTCTTTTTCTTCATTTAACCATGTGAGGATAAAGCAAAGAGACAGCTGTCTATAAAACTAGAAGCAGGTTTTCGGTAGATGCCCAGAGCCCCCGCCTGGAACATGGGTTTTCCAATCTCCAAAACAGTGAGAACCAAGGTAATGTGTGGTAGCAGTACGAGCTAAGACGCTCAGACATTTCTCCAGACATGAATCACGGTCCCTGGAGGAGGGCGACAATTTTGTCTTTACATTAGATCCACAATGAATGGTCTACACACGTGCTGGGGCATAAAGAGCAGGGCTACTCTTCCAGGGAGAAACCTAAAAAAATATATAAAGAGTGCAAAAAAGGAGAGCTTTTAGGAAACTAAAGTCAAACATGCTGGAGAGGGTGAAGGGGATCAAGCACGAAAAGAGAGGAGGGTGAAGGGGTGGAAAATGACCAAGGTAAGTGATACACACGGGCTAATCCCCCCAAACAAACCCAGGATGTTTGTGAACATAAATTCCTTCAAAATAGCTTATCCTAGACTTTAATGTGACTTCTTTTGGATTACATTGCATGAAATATAATACACCATTTACTTCATTCTCCAGCTTCATTATTATTTATTTTGAAATGCAAATCTCCCTTTCATTGTTTCATTCTTGATTACTAGGACTACTTTGTTTTCTTTTCTTTTCCCATTGGCATTTTTGCCGAAATAAATTTCAAATACTACATCTTAGTGCAAACCTCCTCAGGATCTCTCTCCTCTCTCCTCCCCCTGCCTCTGGTCTTTCTCTACAACCTCATTGGTTGCCTTTCCCCAAAGGTAAGCCCAGCTCCTCACACAGGCAACAAACTAACTTTCCTTCTTCCATCCTTTACCTCTTTAATCTCTCACCTAGATTAAGAAAATCAGTTCAGTCATCCCAAATCATTGCTGTAGGCAGTTTTATTAGGTTGTCTATTACCACCATCCTATCCTTGTCACATTTACTACAAAGGGTGATGTTTAATTTTCCACACCAACTTGTTTGTGCCACAACATCTAGATATTTGGGCGAACATTATTCCTCATCATCCTGAAAGCACTTTTTAAATTATATTAACATTTAAACCAGTGGATTTTTATTAAGATAGATTCCTCTCTCACTGTAGATTTGCCTGTCCAGTCATTTGAAGACTTTAATGCTCCAGTCTCTCATCTTTTCCAAGCTAAAAAGAATTCTGCACACAGATGGTCATTGGACTTGAACAGGAACTTTTTCCTCGGTCTCCAGACTGTTGTGTTACTCTGCAGTGTCTGAACGCACACCTATGCAGTTGTGCGAAGCAGCACCACACGTCTCTTTTCTCTCTTGCTCCATGTGTGTATCTTTCTCTCTCCCTCTCCTGAAACTCCATTTCAAAACACACACACACACACACACACACACACTCACACTCACACACGTGCACAACACATACTAATCATTGGTCCCACTGTTGTGGAGAATGTTGACTAATATACAATATTTGTTATTGTAAGTTTATCTCTTCCCTGGATTTCAAGGTGAGGTGTGTGCGTGTGTGAGTTTAATTCTTTATCACCTAATACTGGTCCTTGTGATAGGTTGTATACGGTCATTTGGCATACGATTACACCTTCCTTTTTTTAAATTAAAGGCTGCATCATTGGTATCAAAATGTAATTTCCAAAAGAATCTACATAATTTTTATCAAATATGTTTTTCATTTCACTAGTGTCATGCAGTATTTTAATTCCCCAAGATTTTGGCTGCTTTTGGGAAAGAATATCTCACCTGCCCATCACCTTTTGGGGGCTATATTTTTAATATTTAAACAAATTACTTTTATAGTTAGGAATTATTATATGTGCTGCTGAAGTGAGCACTTTTATAGTTAGGAGTTAAAATATGGCATTTTATAGATTGCTAAATTGTAATGTGCTTTCATCTGATTGGACAACAAACATATCAACTCCCTTTATGAGAGAATGCTGTTCTCATCTAGTCTTATATGGATTATTTTCCACATCTGGCCTATCTTTCCTCTTGAAGCATTGCTTAGATCTTGCTCTCAGAATGTCAGAACATTTTTTTCTTGCATTTGCAGATGTAGCAGATTTGGGGAATATACACATCTGTGCACAGAAAACTGTCTTCATTTTCTGCATGGGTGCTATTAACATTTTTTAAATGAAACATTCATGTTAGGAAAAAATGAGGGCTTTCATAAATATTACAAGATATCAAGAGAATTTTGAGTGTATTGGTTTTGTTAAAATTGATGAAACCTAAAGAATATGAAAATAAAGATTTTACAAGAAAGAGGAGATATATATTTTTACGTATTGGGGTTTTAGGGCACCAGAGTTTCAAAATATAAGAACATAAAGAAGAAGTTTACACCTATTTATATAGCTGTTTTAATTCTATCATAGGAGACACAATGAAACATGTTGTGATTATTCAATAAGACCTTAATTATGATTAATGTGTGACACTCTAAAACACTAAGGAATTCTCTAGTAAACACTTAAACAAGCGGCAATATGCAAAAGTGATGTAGTTCAATATAATTTATTGCCATCGACGTATTGTTACATTATTATTTCTTCATTAAATGTTCAGAGTTTGAAAATCCCAGGGTTCAATAACTATCACTCAGCTGGTGGTGGAGGAAGCACTATGTCCAAACACAACTTAATGATCTTCAGAGTCCAAGTCGTGAGGTGTCGCTCTAGCCAGCCGCGGACAGCAGCGTTACTGAATGACCACACGATGCAGACCATTGCATTCAATGCTGTATGCACACCCTGTCATGTAGACCCACATTAATTCCAACAGACAGACATGTTTCCTCTTTTACAGATAAGGGTAGATAATTATCTAGAGAGAAACTGCCTTGTAACTGGAAGAAAGAGAAGTTAGAACTTAATGTTATCCACAGCTTTTGGTATACCTGTTGCACCATATTCCGATTTACCATCAATAACAAACCAGGCCATTTTAGTTTCTGATTATTCATGAAACAATTATCTCAGTCGATTATGCTCACTCCTCTTAAGCTAAATGGAAAAATGGCTCTGTATGGTGAGCAATATTTTCATGGAGATAATTACATGTCTTCCTAGTTCAACGAAAAGTCATCTGCTCAGTTAACGTATTTAAACATTATTTAATTCATATCAATGTGAGATTCAATCATACGTGTGTATGTCTTAGAGATGGAAACATACCATACCTTACTAAACTGTTAGCACTGTCAGGATCTTGTGCCAGAACTGTGCCAACGATGGTCCCGATCTTGGCATTTTCATACACTTCCATGACATAGGAAGGCATGGAAAATAGTGGTGGTTCATCCACATCTCCAACAATGATCTTCAGTATGGTAGCATCTTTAAAAGGACCCAAGTGAGAAAATCGAAAATCAAGGTGTGTATTTGCTCCTTCTATGTTGAGGGTATATGACTTCTTTTTCTCATAGTTCAATGGCTGTGGAATAAATAAAACATTCCATATTATTACTCTCGTGTGTTTGAAAGTAGGAATTTCTTTTTCATTTGTGAAAAAAGTATCTGAGAGAGTTCATTGATTTTTTTCTTAGTTAAGATTGCATTTTTTTGTTGTTCCAAGAACTCAGAAGTGCAAATGAGTACTGTTGAAATTTTCTTTAAAATAACTGTTTATTATAAATGTGAGCTCCAGATATTGGTTTAGTAGACAAAAGACTTCAAGTGAAAGTGAAATGCATGTTTCTTTTAGCCAGTCTTTCTATGTTTATTTACAACCAAATTAATATTTTTTCCTGAATAGTAGTATCTAAATCAGAAATCATGAAAACTCGACTGAATTAATAGTAATTTTACATAAACCCAAATATAATCATGACGAGATATCAGTATAATTCTTCACAGGAAGACAAATATGCCTTTTGGATATTTTTGTTGTTATTCCTCTCTAGTGGTTTCTTATATTATTTCAATCTACATTTGCATTTAAACTAATTGTCTTATATATTACCTTTTCAACGTCAGCTTTAATTGATAGATAATAATTTATACTTTGGAGGGACAGTGTAATATTTGGGTACAGTTGTAGTTTTGCAATAAGGAAATCAGAGTACGTTCTCTGTCATCTTAAACACTTACAACAGTTTTGATAGGGACATCTAAAATCATTTCTTTTAACTTTTTTTATTTATACATGAAATATTGTTAACTATCATCCCTCTTCTGTGTAATAGTACATCAGATTCCTCCTATTTACCTGTGTCTGCGCATGTTTGTTTGTGCTTGTTAATCGATCTTTCCTTATCTCTGCTGCTCTCCCCCGCCTTCCTATCCTCTTCTGACACAGAGTAAGCTTCTTTTACATTTCATAAAAGAATATAACCATTCTGTCTTTGTCTTTATGTTTTGGGCTTATTATACTTAACATTGTTATCTCTGATTCAATCCAAGGTGCCACAAATGACACAGTTCTGTTGTATTTTGTTGTTGAGTAACTTTTACTTGTTGCTGAATAACATTGCATTATGTATATTTACACTATCTTACCCATATTCGTTTTTCTGTAGATGAATGCATAAGTTAGTTGAATATCTTTCCATTGTTGTTAGTGTTGAAATAAATTCACAAGTGCATCTATTCAGAACTCTAATTTCATATTCTTTGCTTATAGATCTCCTAGTGAGACTTCAGCTACGTGATCTTTTGCGAACATGGCAAGATCATGCATTTGGGCAAGGGCACTCCCATTCAGTAAATGTTATTAGCAAAATCTGGTGAATGAGTGGAAGCATGAGATGAGACACCAGCAACCCTCACACACACAAAGCAAGGCAAATGTGTTACAAATTTAAATGTAAATTTCAGAGCTAGAAAAGTACTAGAAGAAAAGATAAATACTTCAGGAAGTTGGTCAGAGAAAAGATTTTTTTTTTTTGAATTGACACCAAAGCACATGGAAGAAAAGTGAAAATTCAGCAAGAGAATTTATAGACAACTCTTAAAAAAAGATGTACCGATAATCAACTGCTTACTGGACAGAAAGCTCTACACCACTAATTGTCAGGAAGACGCAAATCCAAACTAGAGTGTGATATACTTTCACTCGGAATGCACATAGTCAAAATAACAATAGATAACCCCTGTGGGCAAGTATGTGGAGAAAGAAGAGTTTTCTACACAATTAATGAAAATGGAATTTAGAACAGCTACTGAGAAAAAGGGCATGGAGGTATGTCAAAAATCTCGAATGGTAAATACCATTAAAAGGAACAATCTCAATATTGTTTTTATAACCATTGCCTTTTTAATATATCACAATCTGATTTTTACTTTGCTTGATTTATACTTGCTATCCTATTTTAAAATATGACCAATTTATAGTTTTTAAAACCAATATTTCTTGAGATTGTAGAAAATATGAATATAGAATTTAAAAACATTAGTTTGTTTATATATTTTTAATTTTTTCTATTTTTGAGTAATATTTCATTACTTTTGTTTTCCATCCTCTTTATTTTATTTTGGTCTTGAATCAGTTTTTTAATATATCTGTCTTTTTCTTTGCATGGTTATGATATTTTAAATTTTTAATCCAATTAAATGCTTGTTACAATGTATTTAATGCTTTTTCCTTGCTTTTTAAGTGTCAACCTAGCATTTATTCTCTGTTGAAAATATACATCTAGCATTGAATTTCACTTAGTGAATAGTAACGAATAAGGCCACCCTGTGCTTTTTCCTAAAGGATGTATGATCTATAGCAGGATAAAAATATAGTAAACAGTACTTTGTATGAAGCGTTATAAGTGCTGCAAATATTAGTAAAGCTATAAAGACATAAAGGCAGATGAATGTACAGCTAGGTAGTATCTCCAAGATGAAATGCCTTGCAGCAAGAACTCAGTGCTTGCAAAGTGCTAAACATGATGCTTGTAATTATTACTGTGAACCAGAATTAACTGATTTACTTTCAACTAAGTGAAAAATTTCCATCATGAGGTGAGTAAACCTAATCTCTAGAAACTTTTCTTCTATTGATGACCTATACTTTGATGCTGTTCTTCCTGACATATCTGTGAGAAAAAGCAAAATAGACACTGTTTATCTGTTTTTGCCCCTGATTCTGCACTACCAGGCATTCACCATGCAAGAGCTCTGATGATTTTCCCTAAGAGTAAATGCCTTGATTACTTTGACTTAAAACAGAAAACTATAAACTTGGTGGATTAAGGAACAAAATTGAATTTTTATTGTTTGGAAAGCTAGGAAGTCCAAGATCCGTGTCTGCTGAGGTTGAAAATTGCATAGAACGGAAAGCAATGATTTTATTTCCAAACCAAATATTAAAAATATGTCATCTGAGACTCTAACAGGGTCATGTGGACATGATTAAAACTTGGTCACTACAATATTTTACCAGGTTTTGTAGAAAATTGTTTTTAAAAATCTTAAATACACAAATATTCAAAAGTTGACCACCTATAATGTATTTATTTATATATGCTATTACTATTGTTTTAATCATTTCTCATCCTTTCGGCTAAAATCAAGTATAAATATTATTTTAAAGATATTTTGAAATAAGTGTTGAGTATGGATTTTAGGACATACCAATTAGGGGTTGTTGTTGGTTTTTTTTTTTACAGGATCTGAATTAAAAATGAATTGCCAGAAGAATTAGTGTGCATCTTATAGAAAAATTGATTGACATAATTCCTGGCCAGACTCTCATATTTCAAATTTTCTTTTCTTTACTCCTCTCTTCTTTCCATTAACAAGTGACCCAAAATAAGTGACCATTGGTCTGGCTAATTTATTAATATACCCTATTCAGAGGGAAAGAGCTTCTTCTAAAAACTACACATTTGCTGCTTGAGGAAAAGGATGTGTGGCAGTGAGCACCTTTGGCTTTTAAGATCTAGAATGGCAGAATCTGGGCATGTTGCACTTGGAGAGCAAAAGCCCTGGAAGAATCAGCATTTATTTCAAATCAACGTGTATGATTTTTTGGAGTCAAAGTGTGCACTCTGGAAGGCTTCATGGTGGGTAAGATTCTTCCCATGAAATACATAGGTGTTCAAGGTGTGAACACTAAACATCAGACAGACATACTTTTCTGGGGTGGGCTAGCACTCATCACAATATTAGCAGATTTAAAATTATTCATTTCTACTTATTCATTTGAGGTTTTTATACCACTGTGACATAATGAAATCTGTGTAGGAGATTTTGGCCACCTCTCATCCTATCTGATAGTACCATCAAGCTGTCCATGCAAAATGACATATGTCTCTTTCCATTTTTTAGCAAGTCCTTTGGCAAGTCTGTGTCATATGTTTAAACACTAACCTACCTACTGTTAAGGTGCAGCCTGTTTCTGTGGACACATACATTCATGTTCACGGTCATATAATATAAATTTAACTTCCCTCTGGCAGTGACAATGATTTTGAGAGATTTGTTTGCCAGGACTGGCAGATGGGTGGAGGGGACCCATCTGGAGCCACAAACTGCTGAGAGAAACATTTCAGGTTGGGACAGGAAATTAGAAGCAGACGAATTAATGCAAAAAGAGGTATTTTAACAGCCTCCTTTATAAAGAGAACCCTGTGAAGTTGAATTTCAAATCTAGAAAAATACTGGGAGGAAATTACATACATTTATTTATTTGTTTATATTAGGATTTTGTGTATACTATGGAAAATACATTATTCATTTTCACAACAATCTCAATCATACAGAAAAGTGGTGTTGCAATTGTAATTATTTTCCTAATGGTGGCAAAGCCGCATACATTTTAAATAGGTCTTCCATAATTTTCTAGAAATATTTTAATTTTTGAGAAAGTATTTAGAGCTCCATTTGAAAGGTTTTACTTTGCTCGGTGACCATCAGATTTTTTCCTAAGAAGGGTCTACCAAGACTAGTATATTTAGAACAAGAAAATGTGTTCATCTTATCCCTGAATATAATAAGGAAATGGTACCCAAATGGCTTTAGAAAGAAGTGAAAATTTATCCAGGATGTTGTGCTATCACACAAAGGAATAGCATTAAGTATCCAGCTGAAGGTTTATAAAGTAATAGAAACATTTTCTACCCGAAGACATAAAAGTAAAAATGAAGACTAATTTAAATGCATGAAGACAATAGCAACTTTATCCATGATACAGAAAACAAACTCTTTTCTGGCTATTATGATGCCAACTGCATGTGCTTCCAGTTATTTCTGGATAGATCATGGTCACCATCAGTCAGGTGGGACAAGCTAAGGAAAGATGGGCAAATAGCTCTTCTCTTAAAGGTATTAGTGACTCTTTGCAAGACTGGGCTTTGGTGACCAAGACTGGTTTGTGGTAATTTGTTTATTATTATTAACATTACAAATTTTGATTCATCAAGGTATTTGGTGGTGGTTAGGATGTGATTACTTGAATATAGTTCAGAACATTTTATAAAATTTTAGAAGAATGATTAATTTTGT